TGGAGTGTGCTCTACCTGTCCACCCCTGAGAGGAAAGCCAGTCTTAGCCTAGTCTGGTCAGCTTTCTCCTTGGGAAGGAAATGATGTCTCTCTCCTTGGCAACAGCTCATGATATAGGGGTCCATTTCGGCCAGTTTCTGGCTATGGTATGAGGGAGGTTGCTGCCTCCCTAGGCTGGGGGTGAGTGTAAGCAGCAGGGGCAGGGGAGGTCCTTGTCCCTAAGTGACCCTCAATACCATATGCTGTGGGTGTAGGCTGAGGGGAAAAGGAACACAGGCTAGATAAAACTGGAGAGAAAAAAAAAATGATTGGAGACAGTGAAGACTAGAAGAGTAATAAGTCAAGAAAGATAAAAAGAAGGTGAAAAAAGCTGTTTTCTTCTTGTTTTCCATAGGCTGGGGACAATACCAGAAGCACTTTGAGTGCTTTGCTGATCTGCATCACAGGCTCAGGAAGAGAAGTGTGAGGGGGGAGTGGAAGAGGGGAGTGAGGCACTGGAAGGATCTTTTGCTTCCATCCCAAAAGCTTCTTGTAATCTGACTCCAGAAACGGATCTTCAAGCTGCAAGGAAGCTCTGTCGCTATTTTTCCCCCCTTTAAATAGTTTATTACCTTCTAAACCTGGTAGGGAGCATTCTGGGAGTTAGGCCAAGAGGGTTGGCTTTGCCCTGGACTCTGCTTCATGGTCCATGTTGTCATTAGGCATCATCTTCTGCCAAGCAGGTTTGAGAGACATCCCACAACTGGCTCCAAGGGGTACAGACTGGTGAAGAGCTGCTTTCCCTGGATGTCGGTGGTACAAGGGAGCAGGGAAAAGGCAGTGGGTGTCACATGAAATCTTGGGTCCTGGGTAGGACACGGTCCTGCTGGTTGATGGCCCTTCCTGCTGTGCTCTGCTTCTGCCCATTTCTAGCAGGTAGTGTTGCACTGTACAGTGGAGATGCACCTAGGGTTTTAAAGGCAGCCAGGAGACAGGTTGCTTTGCCCTGGAGAGCCTTGGTGCTTGTTGCCTGTTCACCCATTCCCCCCTTCAGCCCTCTAAGTCCAGGCATCAGTGTGCAGCTGGCTGTGGGGGGGCTTCCCCAAAGCCAAAGCTTTGCTGGGGCAGAGAGGAATCCAGATGCAGTCCTGGCCTATTTTCGCTGCCAGTCAGCGGCAGCTGGGATTTGATTCCTGTCTAATTAATGATTTCCCTGGGAATAAAGGCAATGTTTTTTGTTTGGTCTTAGTAATGAATCAATTGTTTCTGAGGTATGATGTGCACCCAGACATGGAGAAGCAGCCGATGTCATCTGCTGTGTGTGCATGTTGGTGGCTGGCCGAGCAGCTTCATCCTGGGATGGGAAGCACCCGAGATCTCTGGTTTTACTACGGGGCTATTCTTCTCCCAAGGGCAGCACAGGAGACTCTCACCACTCCTCAGGAACATCATGAAAACACCTAACACTGAAAATACAGTAATCTCTGGTTTCCAGAGTGCCTTCCTTGTCCTCTCCTTCTGGAGCTGTTTCCCAAACAGTTGACATTAGCTCAGAGCAGTTTCAGGTTCACAGTGCCTCTCCATCAGTGTCCGTGGGTCCTCTGCAAAGGCATAAACTTTCTCCTTCATGCTTCTGTGTGATAGGTGCAGTATGTGGCCCTTGATGGCTCTCCTCTCCCTCAGTCAATGCCCAGGAGCAGCATGGAGGTGACCTGTGGTACAGCACACCAAACAAACCCCTCTTCTGAGGCCTCTGGTCCTACCTCTGGAGACTGGGAGGAGGTGGTGTGTGACTTCATGTTCTTGCCACGTAACACTTACAAGAGAGGTCCTCACTGTTGCTAGGGTCTGGTAAAACTAGGTTTTTGGGTACTTTGAAGTGACTGATCAGCATGAAGCACTCACAATTGAATGAGGGCAAAATGCAATTCCTTGTCTTTATGTATATTAAGACTCATTTAGTATGAATGTCTAATCAACATCTTGAAGAAAAAGAATTGCCTTCTAAGACAGGCACAGTTTTAACAGGCTTGCCTGCAGAAACACTCAGTGCTGCCTTTATTTTTTTAACTGAAGAAGGGTTATTTTGCAGGTTCCTCATCCAAACCATTTGCTTTTCAGTGTGTATGAACAGGGTTAGGTTGACCTTGCTCCTCAGGGCCACCAGTTCCTTTCAAATGCCAGTTGTGCCTACTTCTGACAGAGGAACCCAGGAGCACCCATGCCTGGGGTTCTGGGTGTGATACCTCCCCATAGTGCTCTCTTACCTCTCCCTGCAAGAAAGACACTCAAGTGCAAGCTGCCATCTCCTTCACAAGGGGTATTGCCTCATTCAGTGGTTTTGTCACTACAAACTCAGGGCAGAAGAGGTGTTACAGGTGAATGAGGGAGGCTTTGCTGCCTGCTCATCCTCACTGCTGCAAGCCTTCCTCTCTGCAACACCTTCTTAGCTTTTAATGCGTTTACCTCAAAATCTGACAATAATAAGTTCCTGTTCATGGGCAAATGATGAAAACTGTAATGGGGGGGATGAGGGATTAGAGAAGGGGTGGCTTATCAAGGACAAGGCGTGGCAGCCATAGGATTAGCCCTTTCATAACTCAAGGGAAACCTTCCACAAGCCACTGACACCAGCCCCAGTATGAGCTCAGCCTCCGTGGCCTCTGTATAAGCCTAAGCACCACTAAATTATTTTTTTCTCCCCCAGAGCTCTGTTGCTGGATGTATTGAAATACGTACGTGCCTGTGAAACACCCGTGCACTTGAACATGGCCCTAGTGCTGTTTGCAGGGTCTGCCTGTTCTGCCTGCATAAGCTGTGCCTCTTGGAGCACCTAGAGAGGGACACATCAAAACAGATGGGCACCCGCAGCAGGGAAAGTACTGGGGCAGTCGGGATGGCCGGAGAGAGTGCCAGTTAGGAAGGGCAGTAGAAGAACTCTTCATTTATTCTTCATGTTTATAGACATTCCTGGCCCTCTGCAGTGACTGACCTGGAGCTGCAGGGCCTGTGTGGGCTGTTACCATATGCGGGGTGAAACTGGGCATGTTTTAGTCCTGGGAATAGCCCCAAGGTAAAGATAAACAAGTACTTTTCTTGGGTGAGTATGCATCCCTGAATCACAGACTAGAAGACTACTAAATGGTTAGTTTTGCCTGTTCTTGCTCCTCACCAACGGGCACCAGTGAGACCTTGAGTCACACTTGCTCCCTCTCTCTCTGAGCCCAGGTCTTCCAGAAAGCATCTTCCAGAAAGAGCAGAAGGAGGTGCTGGTCACCCCTCCAGCCAGGAGGGAGAGGTGTGTGAGTGAAAGAGAGGTAGGAACCTCCAGGGTGAGAGCACTCTGCATTTTGAGGCTTTTGAAGGTCTCCACCAGGTCCTCTGGGATGGAGCCGAGTTGTTCATAACTCCAGTGTGCCCAGGTAGATGGCCTCCTCAAACACACTTGGTTCAAGTCTTCCAGGCAATGCTTATGTATGGTAAAGAAGCAAGAAACTGCAAATGGTTGACCTGGGGACTTTACTGTCCTGTCTATTCTTCTAGTAGGCTGTGCCCTAAAAGCACTGGTCGAGTGTTTGATGTTCAATGAGGAGCTAATGTGGCCTACAGTCGTATAGCATATAAGCACAATGTTCATTTATATACATAGAGATATAGAGATATCCAGCTGCATCTTGTTCATGCTGGCAGTTTCCACCAAGGGGCTGTGGCACATGTATAAATATATCAGTACTACAGCTTTCTTATACCAGTAGTTTCAAATTTCTATTTCAACTAATGTAGAGAGAGAGAGTGTCAAAGAGACTGATCAACAGGCAGAGGAAGAAAAATCTAGAAAATCTGCTTTGCAGTTCATCTAATAAAGGAAATACACGGTATGTAAACGTGGTTTCTCCTCAGGTTGATTCACATTCATATAACGAGCTCTGATTCTCCTGTCTCTTGGACTTTTATTTCCCCTAACATCACTTACCTCTGACATAAGCCAGTAGAAGAAAGGTCAGAACAATGCTTTTCATCTCTAGCAAGAGAAGAGGACGTGTGTACCCTACGTATACTAACAAGTCTGAACGACTGGAGAACGTATTTATAAATGTATTTATAAAGATAAAACTACCTCCAAACTCTCCATTCATTGCACTATTTTCAAACCTAGTAAGCTAAGACAACTGAAATCTGCCGGCATAGGAAAGCAGGGAGACCTAACGCTCTCACAGTGACCTGCACACGGGGGGTCATCACCCCCTTGACTGCGAGCTGGCACCCTGAGCTCCTTCTCAATCTGCAGTCAAAAGAGGCATTTCATGGGCTACCACGGGACATCCAAATCTCTGAGCAGGGAGTAACTGTGCGACTGAATAGTTAAAAGCCAAACTGCTCGAATCCTTTCACTGCACATTGCCCAGTGCACGTTATCCAGCATCTAATACGGTTGGAGAGATGTGTTCCCTCCAAACATCTTGGTCATGGGAAAAGATGCTATACAGGCTTTTGGAGAAAAGTCAGCTAAAGCTGGAGGGTCATGGGGGATAGGAGGGCTTCAGAGTAGGCCCTTATGAATGCTTCCACACCTGAAAGGGAAGGTAGGCCCAGCCCAGGCTTGGCTGCAGGTGTTTGGAACTGGCCTGAAGTCTGCTCTGGTGTTTCTTTGGGAATAAGACCAATGGTTTGGCTCAGTGCCATGATCTTCAGCCTCAAGAGTTTGGGCCCAGACCTGGATCAGCCTTTCCAGAAGTTCAGGAACTCATAAGCTTTGATGTCCCATATCAGACCACCTGCACTTACCCTATCTTTAGCCTGAGTTTTCAAGAAGAACAAGGTTCAGACAGGGATCATGTTTGGTTTTGCATTGCACTGCCAGTCAAGAATATCCTATCATTATATGGAATCACTGAAAACTTAACTAGCACCCCTAAAAGCATACTCCCCTCCCACAGCTTTTTGCTGCTCCTAGAATGTTAGTACATCAAAACAGATGGGCACCCGCAGAATTAGTAGCTACAGACTCCTGCAGCAGAATTGAGTAGCTGCAAAGGGCATCGTGTTTGAGAAAAGGACTAAACTTTACAGTGGCCTTCCCTATGTCTTGAAGTGAGATTTGGTCTTTGGATGTTAAGTGCTGGGACAATGAGCGTGGAAAATAGAAATTGTCTCCCTGTGTCCCTCTGGCAGAGAGCAGGCAGGCACTTTTCTCCTGCCCTGGGACACTCAGGGAGGATTCCCTGCAGTTTCCTATTGTCCTTACTAAGGGGGCGTGATTTGCAGCGGTGCTGGGTGCCTGCAGGTGCCCCCCACCAGAGGGGGGGCAGTGCCGGTGGCTCAGCACCGCTGAGAATCAGGCCGGGGTTCCGGGCAGGGGCAGGGGGAGCGGGGCAGGGGCAGGGAGGAGCAGCGGTGCTTGCTGACGCTCAAACACAGGTCTTCCGATGGAGGGACCTGCCACAGAGGGAGGCCTCTCGGCCCCCACAAGTCAGACTGCACAGAGCCACAGTTAGTCATCGTCATCGTCGTCGTCATCGTCGTCGTCGTCATCGTCATCATCGTCGTCATCGTCATCATCGTCGTCATCGTCGTCATCATCGTCGTCATCATCATCTTCAGTATTTATCTTCCCAGAGAGCACGTCCTCTATCCAGTCCTCCAGCTCCTCAGCTGTGGGCAGGTCATCATCGTCTCTGATGTCCATCCAGATGCTGTCAGCCTGCGGGGACAAATCGTGGGGGTTAGCCAGTCTCAGAGACACAGGGCAGAGACCAGGTTTGCTGCTGTTGGGGGGTAAGGGCTGGACCACGAGTGGGTTGGAGGGAAGGTGGTGCCATTAGCTCCCTCTCTGCCACTGGCTGTGGGCACTCTTGGCCAGTGTGTCTCTGTCTACACACTGAGGCCACCAGTTTCCCCTGAAGTGCTGTTGCTTCTGACTTGGGGCAGTGGGACTGGCCAATGTGTTTACATGAATGTATGGTACTGTTTGCCCTGAGTTAGATGTGTGCCCACTGCCTGTTCCTCTCCTGCAATGCCTTCATCTGTGAGCAAGAGCATCATCCACTTGACATATTGTCTTCACCCTGGCTGGCTGGTTCTGCAGACTCCATGTCTACACAAAGAGAGCCTAAGGAAATCTATGCCTGCTCCCCCTGCAGCACCTCAGGACATCACACAATTACACTCCTTCTTTCCAGAGCCCTTCTGGGACCTCATCCTTTGAGCTTTTCCACCCTGCTGTCAGCACCCCTTCTCCCCAGCCTCTTTTACCATCACCTTTGCTTCAGGATGTTGCTCTAGACTCTCCACATGTGAAAGTGGTTCTTCCTCCTTGAAGAACCTTTCCTCAGATCATCTCAACCATGCTCCAGCTGAGGAATGGTGAAAAACATCAATGCCCTGGACTACAAGTGTCCCCTGCTCTTTCTTTCCAGCTGTCTGTGTTACTCCATAAACTGGAGGGGATTCAGTAAGAAGATGCTGTCTAAAATGTGGTGGGAAAGTGCTGCCTAAATTGTGGCTGTTACCCAGGGATAGGAAGCATAGATTACATGGTCTCTGAGGCATGGAAAGGAAAGAGTTTCTCTCTGCTTTGCTGTAGGTTCCTTGGGTAAATGCCTGGGTAAACTCTTTTCCCTAAACTGTCTCCCCTTCAGAAAACAGAATCAGCCTCCTCTTTTGCAGAGGTGCTGTGAGATTACCTCATTCAGAGTTTGATGCTGCAGAAGCAAGTGCTTTTCAGACGTCAGAAGATGACTACTGGCTTTTGCAAATGCACCCAACTTCTTTCCACGCCTGTGATTCCTAATTCTCTTTGGTTTATGGCTTGCTAAAAAGCCAGGCTAATTTCTGTTCAAGGGAAGCTGTTTCCCCCTTACAGTATTTTCTTCCACAACTCTAATATAAAAAGAGCCACAGAGGGGCATGCAGCTGTTGCTACATGCAAATGGCCTCGTCCCCAGCCTCGGGACTGTGTGTGTGGCAAGAAGCGACATCTTTAAATAATGGGAAGAGGAGTGGGCCCCTTGCACCTAAAGAAGATGCTGTGCAAATAAAGCAGCAATATTTTGCAGAGCATCATGGCCCTGGTGCTGAGCCCCTATGACGTGATGGGCCAGCAAGGGCCACTGGGAGCTCTGGTGTTTGTATTGGCAGGTTTTGAGAGAGGTGATGGGGTCACAGAGGTTATGTCCACCCAAGCCAAGAGCAGTGTTTATTTTTACTCTGTTGTGTAAGCCCCACTTTGTACCTGTGTGACTTGGCTGAATGCAGTGATGTAACACTGCAATAATGAAATGAGCTCAGTGTTTGTTTTAGATATCACCCGCCAACCTAGAATCTTCTTAAATCTCTCTCTTGAGGAATAGGAAACAGACTTAAGAGGAATTAAATAAAAACTGCAAACACTATAATCAACAACCTGAAACATTTTACTGTATCCAAGCTAGATAAAGCACAAGCTTTTACAGGTCTCAGAATGACTGCTGGATAATAAGGCGTATGTTCCTGCCTAGTACTGCTTTCTGTATGATTCTCTTGCCACTGACAATCCTATTTCCATGCATTTCCGTTGATAGCTGTTTAATGTAGCTTTGACATGAGTTAAATGTGGCCAACTGCAGTAAATATAATGAATGAAGACTGCAGACTAGCAATAAGGGCAAAAGTGGAAAAATTTGGCTCTATTTCTGGCTTATCTGTTCTTTTTCTCTCAGGATCTTAGATGACAGATGCTATCTTTGCCCTCTTCTCTTTTGTCTCTCCCTTAGTAGCTCAGCTAACAAGCCTTAACCCACTGGGTCCTTGCTTTCTAGGTGTCTGTCCCACAGTCTGGCAGATGCTGCACTACTACAGGTAAAGCACCACTCACATCCAGCCAGCACTGCATCTACTCTGTACCACACAGGCTCATTTTAAAGAGATTTAAACACCCAGCACTTCACCATCAAAAATAAACTCAGGTAATGAAGTGAGCCAGGCTCGAGCACATCCCATTATGTGCTCTCTAATCGTGTGGACAGTTATTGTCAGAAAGAGGAAAAAGGTTTTCTCTCCATAGTTGCGTCGGGGGCTTGATGCACTCAGCAGCTCTCCCCAGATTTCTGCTGGTGAAGGGTGGATGGGTCCTACTCCTACCTGCCTTAAAAACTCGTAGTGTGCGGGCAACCTGGCATCAGTCCCCTGGCTTGAGGGCAACCATGGTGAAAACAGTAGCTGCTAGAAAGCTTGCCTGACAGGACAGCCACGGATGCTGTGGGTACCACCACCAGCCATGGCCAAGCAGCACCTGCCTGTGCAGCTCTCCCTCTGCAGTGCTGCTGCCTGCAGGACAGTGTGGAAACCTTTCACTGCCTCTGGGCATGGGGTGGACACCTCTCCTCCTCCCACCCAAATCCCCCCAGCACGATGAACACAGCAGTGGCTGAAGAGGAGTGCGTGGATGAAGCCCAGTATACCCTCTTTGCCCCAGCAGGATCCCTCCATTACAAGTTTAGGTTGTATTTTTACTAAGGCTGTGTGTTTACTTGTGTTTTTTTCAAGTTGTGCAATTTCTCCCTGTCATCTGTTGGGGACCATCTTTCCCTCCTACACTCAAGCTGTGCCATTCTGCTTCTGATGCAAAAATATCCCCCTTTTTCTCCTCTTGTCCTCCTATAAGCATTGCTGGATTTCCCCCCTACACACACATTTTTCCTCCACAAATCCACTCAGGTTGTCAGAGCAGGGCATGGATAAAGGTGCTTGCGGTGGGTTGGGGTGGAAATGTGAGACCTTGAAACCAAAACTGGGCAAAGCATCAAAGCTCATACTGCAGGGGCTGGTCCTGTGCTCAGCAGATATGGTTTGTGCGCGACTCAGCAGCAGACACATGGTCAGACCAAAGTCCTGAAGCCCAGTGGAGGTGTTATGAACCACACTGCATGTAGGAATGGTGAGGTCTTTACACTTTGTTCCCTGGGGAAAAAGTCTTCCTGCACTTAACAGCAGAAATCCCACCAATTCCAGCAGACCTCAGATCCCGTACTTTCTAGTACCCTAATCTTGGGGTTGCTGGATTTTCTAGGTACATTACTTACGTCCGTTACATTCACCACCCCAATCTGTGGCCTGAACAGGTCAATCTTGAAGGTCTTCTCCCAGTAAGTGATCAGCTGCAGGAGTGAGAAACAAAGCTCAGATAAGAGTGTTTGCAATACCCTGTTGCATTAATTCATCTGGCTGGGCTGTGGTGTCAAGAGCCCTCATCGACAAGTGCACAGCAGAGAAGAGAGGTTGAATGCAAGATTAGGTTGCCACACATGGCAAAGGAATGTGCCAAATCTGGGAATATTCCCAAGACATCACCTTCGTGGGAGGCAGCCCCGAATGAGCAGCTCTTGGGGATCACCTGTGGCCCAGTTTACTGCTCCCTGTCCCACACTCCCTGGGGCAGTTCCTGCACTCGTGCACCCACATACACCCCCATCAGTGAATTAAACCACGAAAGGGCAGGATCCCCAGCTACTCACCAGAGGGAAGTCGTCGGGGTCAATCCAGACAATGCTCAGGTCAGGATTATCCGTGTTGTCCCTGGCAACCTGCTTCAGGATTTCCAGGAACTCAAAACCATCTGAAACGATACATGAGCTACTGCAGCTCTCCCCTGCAAACACTCAGGCACTTTTCACTTGTGGGGTTTCCAGCTTCCCTCGCTCCCCTATGCACGCAGGAGTTGTTTATAGTTCTCATTAAAATGCTGCCTCCCAGCTCTTTCTTCTGATAATAAAGCTTTTAATTTCAAGCATCCTCCTTGGGTACTGAAATTAGTTACACATGAATTAAGTCCAATAATCCTTCCATGGAGTGGAACAATGTCACTATTTTCTTGTGGCAAGGCACAAGAACTGAGCCCCTGAGAGGCCAAAGCTCTTCGGCACGCTGATGGCACTGAGCAGCCCCAACGCCACGGCCTCTCAGGAGCTGATGCCCACAGGTTTCCTGCATGCCCATCACACACCCAGCCCTCAGCACTTTCCTGGAGCTATACAGCAAGATGGATGCTGAGTTAGGAGGCAAATGCTGGTGCCGGAGTGGAGGGGATGACATTTTTTTCCCAACCAGCCATCTGTTTATATCCAGAATTTGAACCCTGGCTAGCACACCTGCTAGTGTAAACACCCAGAGGCATCCCAGCTCCCCACGTCAGCAGGCTGGGGCTCCCTGTCTTGGCTGGCACACAGGGCTCCACAGTGCAAACAAAACATGAAGCCACACTTTCTTGAGTGACAGAGAATCACATAAGGAGGAAAATGGCCTCCTACCTGGGTCATCTTCTTCAGCAAAGGCCACGATGTGGATTCCCTCCATGTCATCCTCCTGGAAGCAACAAAACTGTTACTGATGGGCCAAGGAATGAGGACAAAGTCTGGGTGGTTGCTGGAGACGAGGAGCAGTGGGATGCCATCAGATTAACAGGATGACTGCAAAGGAAGGCTTGACTGGAGCCTCACCAAGACACCAGAAATGGGAGCTGAGGTCAGACTGTCGTGGAGGCATTAGGTGATGAAGTGGGTAGTTTGGGTAGCATTGCTGAAACACTTCAGATAAAAATTAGGTGGGCACCACAATGACAAATGAAGCTTCTGATGGTGTGGGAAAAAAAACCTTGCCTGCAGAGAAGGTTGAGGGCTCTCCAGCATGGGAATATGATCTCACCCTAGATGTCTGAGGCCACATACCCTCATAAAGTTGCAGCTGCTAGAGGATGGTATGTGGGGAAACAGGTACCTGCCACCATGCTGCGTCCTCAAAGGTGGTCCTTGGCAGTCAGCAATGGAGCTTTCCTCAGAGTATGAGAGGCAAAGTTGGGCCCCTTTTGGAAGGTGAAGGGTCTTTGGTCTATGTGAGGGTCCCTGTGAGCAGTGAGGGGAATTGAGTGGGAGGCTCATTTCTGGGCTCCTATAAGCAGAGGACAGAAATGACAGTCTAGTGGACTGCTTTTCTCCATAAGACACATGAGTAATGGGTAATGATACTGGCAAAGGCCAATAGATCTGCTGGCCAGTTCATCATCTGCCTGCTATGAATGTCATCTCTGAATTATCCCATGGATTGGCTTCGCCTTTCTCACCCACTGCCAGTCCCTGTTTCCAATTCAATTGGTTTTAATGCAAGAAAAAATTCCCATCTAAATGCTAATTTCTTTTCCCTTCTGAGCCCAGAGGTGACAAAGCCACCATCAGAAACTGAAAGGAAAAAAAACCCTGAAAGATTAAGTGGAAAACATTATCTTTAAAAACAATAGCGGATGCTGGGCCTTTGCTGGTGTCTTCAGGGAATACTTTTTTACCAGGAGATTTTGGGCAGATTTACTTGGGATTCAGACCACTTACAGCTGGCAGAATCTACACTGTTGCTTTTTCTCCGTGTTTGCTAGCAGAAAAATAATATCCATATATGCGATATATAATTATATATATATAGCTACACAATAGAGCTGTATTCTGACCTCCAAGGCAGAAAACAAAACTGGAGTAACTCCAGTAAAGGTATTGAGGATGTTCTGAACTTGCAGCGAGACCAGAATCCAGCCCATTGTTTCCTGTAGGTACAAGTCCCCTGCTCACAGGGGAGGCAAGTTCTGTATTCCCAGGCTGCCAGTAATGTGAATATCCCACTGCTGACAATTCACACTTTTCCTGAGGTTATTTTAGAATATGTTCAGTATGATAACAAAACCACTTTGTGTGAAATTTGAGTCCCACTTATGCCCCAGGAAAATCTTCTCGGGACTTTCATAGATCTAGGAAGCTATCTTCTATACAGAATCTCTGTTTCAAACAAAATTAAAAAGCTATCATGCCTAAGTGACTCATAACTCCTAGTTCAGTTTTATTGCCTCTTGCCTTCTTGTGTTAAAAACTCCCAAGGTTTTTGGTGCTTTGGAATCCCACAGTGTTTCATGTTACACAGCCAAGCAAGGAGGCAACTGAATGCTGTTATAAATGTGAGGAGCTTTTTGGAGGAATGATTGCATCTTCCTGAGCATCTGCAGAACACCTGTTCAGCTGGGGTTTTCAGCATTCAGCTGGCATGTGAAGGTCCCTGACAGGCTATTAACATCGTAGTCATTCACAGGGGAGGGATAATTTGTTATAAATGATTTTTCCTTCATTTTCACCCTCCCCCTTTTCCCCACCCTTGCAGACCAGGAGAGACCTCTCCTTGTGATCAGTACCAAAGCACTGGTTAGTTCTTCCCAACTGCTGCCTTGCAGCTTGATTACACCATGAGAAGTGCAATCAGTGCACAATTTGCTCTGTAATCTATATAATTAACTGAACTGCCTGCCCTCGCTTGCAGTGTGAATTTTACAAGTGCTCTGGTACAATTTCTGTGAGTCATCTGTTCGGTACAATCTCCATAGCTCTGTAGTTGAGCAAAGCATTTGAGCATGCTGTTTGAACTCAGGCACTGAGCATCACACCCAAGGGTTTCCCTTCTTCCCAGAGGAAGGGAAGTGGCTGTGCAAGGAAAGGAGGGTAATGTTTTTGCAGCCAGAGGCCGGAGCTCTGAAGCAATGGTTTCTTGTTGGAAGCTATCAGGGAACACAAGACTTGCCACCCATGCATGCTTACCCACGTCTCAAACATGTCCTCCGGGCGCAGCTTCCTCAAGGTGGCCCTGAAAGGAAGACAGAAACAGTCTTTGAGGATGCATCCAGCACTGTCAAATATGAGCTGCAGTGTCACGGAAAAGGTCACCATGGCACGTTTGGTTGGTGGCTGGAGTCAGCACCCTCAAACACCACGTTTTGAATGAAGTATGAGGGCACAGTAGGTCAACTTATGCTCTTAGTTATGATGATGAAACCCTGCCCTTTCCCCCTCTGGAGTCACTGCAGCCACAATCTGTACTTGGGAAGATGAGATGCCCCTCTGTGCTGGGATGTGCTGGAGAATTATCCTACACATGGCAGCTTGTTCTGTCCGTGCTGAGGGCAGGAGGTGACCCATTCACTTCTGTCTTGTAGTCCTTGGGACGTTCCTAATGCACTTTGTTCCCCTTTTCTCCCAGTTTTACCTCAGCATAATTCCACCACAAAAATCCTTCCACACTCCACTGAAACAAAGAAGAGAGAATAACCTCTGAGAAGAAAATTTAGGTCCTAACAATTACTGGCAAGAAAATGTAAATGGTAAGACTGATCGAAGCAAAAATTTCTGGGAAGTAGTTGACAAAGGACAAAAAAAAAAAAAAATAGTAAATATTTGCAGACATATCTGTAGCAGGAAGCCTGTCAGAGAGCCTGGCAGGTTGAGAGGTGACTAGGGTGTTAAATGGGCACCCAAAGAACACAAGGCCATAGCAGAAAAGCACAAGTAATCCTTTGCACCTCTGCTTGTTGTGGCATCAGGTGTTCAGGGAGGCTCCTCCAGAAGAACAGGCGTCCCTGGCTGACCAGCCCCTGGAGCTGTTGCAGAGAGAAGTCAGTCGATGAGGTCCTAGAACATATTGGTAAAGGGAGTAGCAGCATGTTGCTAGAACCAGGTGGCATCCATGAGATGCGTAAACTGTGACTTCAGTTTGCCTCACTACTAAAACAGCAGAAACAAGGGACATTTTTTAGAGGTTCCTAAAAGATCTGACGACCCACAGATGTGGAGGGGTAGCTTCCTTATGGGCATGATGCTATCAGCCAAAGTAGAGTTAACAGACATTTGAAGGAATATGATGTCATAGCATAAGAGATGTGGACCCTTCCTGAGGAAAGCCATGGCCATGGATCTGCTGGAGTTCCCGGAGCAAGTTAAGGGACAAGTGAAGATACACTGCTCAATGCAGTGAGCTGCCCTCAGGGGACCATTGGACAAAGTCCCATACTAAAGGCTCTCAGGGAAACTAAGCTGCTGTTAGATCAGATGTGGGGTGCTCCTATGGATTCATGACACTGGAAGGTGAAGGGTGGAGATGAATTACCAGTTTTCACTACAATTAAGATTCATAGCATATGCTTTGGTATGCTCATATGCATAACATATTCTCACATAATCTGGAAAAGATGAGAAATAGGAATATGGCAGTGTTTGCTTATCATATCCAATTCTTCAACAACCAACACAAGCCTGACTAGGAGGAGATACAGGGGGAATCTCCTGAGACTCGAGTGTCTGCATGACAGATCCATGCATAGGAAGTAATGCACTTGCAGAAAAACAACCCTGATTATACTTGTGCAACAATAGGTTCTAAATTAGTTATCATTAATTATTGCCTCTCAGGAAAGGGGCCCAGGTGTCTCAGACTGAGAAAGCATCAGCTCCAAAGGCTAAAAGAAGGTTACAAACAGTTAGGAAATGACTGAGGAGTAAAACACATCACACAATAATGGCAATGGACAGCTATGCTCTGCACCTCCACAGTGAATGGATGTGGGGTCCTGGTCATCCCAGCACACAAACTATATGAAACAAGAAAAAAAGGGACTTGGAAACACAGTGGTGAGCAAAGATATGGAATGTCCTCTGTTTGGTAGAGATTCAATAGGTAAGAACTCTTTATCTTGTAAATGAGGTGACTGAAGTGGGATTTAACAGGGGGTGTAGGAAACTGGAAATGATAAAAAAAACCCAAACACCCACCAAGGAACGGCTAGTCATTGTTCCTCTTAATACAGGAGCTAGTAGGCACAGTGAAATTATTAGGTAGCAGGTATAAACTGAACAAATAGGAGCGCTTTTTTGATGCAATGCATAATTCAGCTGCTGAACTCATTGCAGTTGGATACTTTCAGCATCAGAATAGAAATGAGGCAAAAAATGACTTCAGAAATAGAAGAAATAGCCTCTAAGCACAAGATGAGGGATACAATTTTTGACCCAGCAAGTCTCCTTGTTGCTGATTGTCAGAAACTGGAGATTGTATCAGGCAAATGTATATTATGTACTTATGCATACTTGTACCTGGCTTTCAAGGCACTCTCCTTTGCCATTCTCTGGGGGCAGCTCTTGGAGAAAGGAAAATCAGTGGGAAAGACTGGATCACACCCACCTGTACTGACCGCTGCAGAGTTACTCAAGGTTTACTCTGGTTACTTCCCTCTGCTGGAGGGATCAGGGTGAGTGTGTTTTAGGTGAGGAAGAGGGAGCAGGATTCAGCGCCCATGTCTTTGTACCACAATTACAGAGAAGGGCAGAGATTGCGTGTGTGTCTGTCCCCAGCATTTCACACGTGAAGGTCACAAACCCAGAGGCCTCTTGCCACAGGCAGAGGAACCACAATTCAATTTGTACTTGCACAACTGAGAGCAAAGCCTGTGCTGAAACCCCGGAGTCACGGCACCTGGCCACCGTCCCCAGTTGGACACCCATCTGCTGTGCAGCCTTGGCCAAGTCACACCGCCGTGCTGAACACTGGCTTCCTGACCTTCTCAGGAGAGGATGAACTTTCCCACCAGCACCTGCAGCTGCCCAGGGATGCAGTTTAAAGCATTCCAAAGAGCCTGGGTACTGCTGGGCACTGGGAGCTTTCCCTGGGGGTGCGACAGGGCTCCTTCTGGGGGGTAAAGAGGTGGCAGTGGGGCTTTGCACTGCTGGCTGGGGTGAGGTAAGAAAGTCTGCTGTGTGAGAGGAGGAGGTGAGTGGTCCTCCACACCTTCCTGCAGAGGAGAATATCCTGCCGAGTTGTCTACAAGGAACCAGCACAGGGCAGCTGCTGAGGTCGCTCAGTTTTTCTCTACAGGCCTGATCATCTCCATGTCTGACTAGTTCCACTTCCAGCTTTTGGCTTTAGGTCCTTCACTGGTGACAAGGCAGGAAGAAGCACACTTACTCCAAGAGACTCGGTGTTAACTGCTGGGAACACACCATCATCACCCCAGAGGTTTTCCCCTGCCATGGCAGCACCCGGGCAAGTCTGGATTTCAGGCATCGGATTTGATGAGACTCCTTTTAATACTTTTCTGAGCCTTGGCACTTGTGAAATAGATGGCCCACACCCTCGCTCCTACCAAGCACCATACAGCATCTTGAAACGTGTAAGACTTGAGGGGTTTTCACTGCAATGTTGTGCTGGTGGAGAGCTTGCCTTGTTAGGCGAGCATTTAGCTGACTCTGTTTCATCAGCCTCCTGATACTGCTGTTTGACAGAAAGAGCTGGGGAAAAGAAAAATGGGAAGAATTGAGGTCAGGAAGTCCAGGAGGTCAGCAAAGTGACCTGTGGGTACGTAGGAGATAGAGCACCACTTCATATTTCAGAAAAAGCAAAGATCTGTTTCCAAGTCTTGTGACTCACAGATTCCAGAGATGATCTCCTGTCTCTAAACCCTTTGTACGTGCACACAAACTGCCAGCTCAGCCCAAGCTGGGGTCCCTCCTATCAATGTTCCTGCTTTCTTGTTCTCTTTTATGGCCCATTTAGTGTCTGCTGAGAAATACAGTTGCAGGAGCAGCAGATAGCCTGTGTGACTATCCTGTGCTATACTTTTTAAGGGTGTAAAAATGCAGCACCTCATAGGTATGAGGCCCAACACAGCCATAACAGCAGTGGCTTCCTCTCTGTGCCTGCAGTCAGCAGGAGCTTCTCAGTACATCATGGTTCCTCTGAGCTTAGAGGTGCCTACAGACATAGCTGACATCAGGATAGGGATATACCCACTAGTGAAGCTGTTTTGGAGAAGAAGGGGACTGGATGGAATTTGGATTTGGCTTGAGAGGCCTTGGAGAAGATAATCTCCTGTACAGACCTAAATTAAAAGCACAGGCTACTAAGTAGGGCAAGGTTTCTGCTCTCCACTGCCTGCAAGACTCCCTGCTCTTTGAGGGAGGACTAACCAGGAAGAATCATGCTCTGATTGTGGCACAAATGTTTGCACCTCTTGGAGGAGGAAAAGAGCACACAAAAACCTAAAAACTGGGTCAGGGTGGCCAAAAGGTGTTTGTCACACTATTTTTTTCGGGGGGGGCTGCCCTAGAGGGACATGCCTGAGATGACAGATACCTTTATGCACTTCCCATGGCCAGGAGTGTCTGTACACTGCATACCTTTTGTGTTCCTTCACAAACTCAACCAGCTCCTCTTCTGTGTAAGGCTTGTCAGGGATGTGAACAGGCTCCTCCATAAACGGCTCATAGAAGTCCACCTCGTTCATCTTCAGACCTAGCTTCTTAGCAACCTGTTGCAGTACAGATGGTCAGAGATGAGTGAGCCTCCAGTACCTCTTTGCCTACTCAAGCACTGGGGCAGAGCAAGGCCAGAGTCAAGGTCCTGCAAACCTAATAGGGTTGGTTTCCAAACTTGGATCAGGACCTGCCTCCACACGGCAGAAATGGCCTTTTATCTTGCTACAGGGCCAAATCCAAATGTGGACACCAATACCACAAATTACAGGAACACTGAAAACGAGAAGCTGGAGCCAGGTGTTAAATATGGGAACATCCTGAGCTCCTGGAACACAGGTGGCAGAGTTTGTGAGCTCCCATGGAGGTCCATAGATGCTTACCCCTTTGTCAAAGGTGGCAAAGAACTTGACGTACGGCTGGAAGTGTTCAGCAGCTTCTTCAAATGCCTTGTAATCTGGAGGGAGAAAAGGGGAATAAAAAAAAGATTTCACAGACAGCTGACCACACTCTGATCAGCACCAGGGAAGAACAAATATAAATTATTGCCAAATATATCAAGTGATGGCACTGTGTTTCTTCCACCCTTCCAGGGTTTACAAACAAGGACCGTTTCATGTGAAGAGGATACACGTTGTGCAGCCCCTCAGTGTTCAGCAACACTACAAATCCCATAATATAAGCCAATGCTTAACCAGTCCTGAAGTCAGCAGCAGGTCCAGGAGTTAAAACTCCAGCCTGTTGATAAGGGTGTTTGCAGCTGCCCTCTTGCACAAGCAGAAATTCAGCCTGGGAAATACTTGCTCCAGCATTAATTGGTGATTGCTGCCATTCCCTAAACAGTCACCAAGCGTAATTAGGCATGGCCCTCCTGCTGCAGGAGGAGCGGGAAGGAACGAGGTACATTTTTACTGCTGCTGGTGTCAGGAAGGATGCTCTCAGCCTGGTAGGAGCACTTCACAATAGGTATTTCCTACCTTTCTTCAAAACACTGATTACTGAGCAGTGTTAGGGGTGCAGCCCTGCCCCAGCTGCCCTGCAGCCCGTTCTGAGTAGGTGAGAAAGCTGAAAGGAGAGGTGGATTGGCTGTTGCAGTGCAGCAAATATGATGACACATTGCTCATTGAGGTAAAAATACCTGTCTTTTTGCTAAAGGTGAGCTTTGTGAGGGTGGGGTGCACACTGCCAGCACTGCCCAGAGAGCAGGGGGAGTGCTGGCAGAGGAAAGAGCTGGGGCTTGCTGGGGAGGGTCTCGGGTGAGAGTTTCTCAAGCCTTGTGAAAGCTGGTGGTTTTGCCTGGAATGGTCCCCAAGCTGCACATCCCTCAAGGCAAGGGACCAGCCTCTCCTTAGTTTTGGGGTTCTGCGAGGAAGAACAGGTCAGTGTCTCTGCCCTAAGGTGTCCTGCTGACTGCTGCTGTATGTTTACCAAGTTAGTATTTAATGTCTGTCCCACTCTTTCATTTTGCCTCCCTCCCTCTTTCTTTGACCTTTTGGGCTCAGTGCTCCTAAGGGGGGTGAGGGTGTAAGCTTTGCTCTGTCTAGATGCTCACTCAGTGTAACTGTAACCTCAGCTGGCTTTGGGTGAGGTAGACTCACTTTACTTCAGGAGCCCCTGGATTATTGCTCCCCTCTTTTGGCATCAGGCTCCTTGCAGAAGGGTCATTCCTGTTGGTGTAGGAGTGGCTTCATGCATAGCAACAGCAGAAACTTGCCTTCAACCCCAGCTTATCTCCCAGCAACCTTGGCACTCTCACAGCCTGCATGTACCCCTAACACCCTTAACGTGCATGCAGAAGAACAGATGCCCAGCCCCTGAGCCAGGCTTCCAGCCCTGGGAGGAACACATTCATCTTACGTTCAGAGTCTTCTCCTTTGAAGTAGCCGATGAGTTTGATTTCATCATCAATTTGGTCAAAGGCCTGAAGCTCCAGCTTGCTGTTTATGATCTCCACAGGGTCTTCTAGCAGCTGCCATGATAAATGCATTTGGTAACATAATGATTCACAGCACCAACCTATGCCTGGCAGAGGGTGTCACTACAGCTTCAGTGGGGAGAAAGCGGTCACCCAATTTCTCTGCTGCTGGAAATCCTACTTAGTGCTCTCTGCCTTGATGTCAGGCACTCAGAGATGCAGGTCACCCTCAGAGGGAGCTGTTAGTAGATTCACTGTGTAGGTTGAATCATCAAGAGGGAAGCTGAGAGAGGTCTGGGTAACCCAAATAGACGCTGAGGGACCTGCCGTGATGAGGGATACGCAGTATGGGAACTGTGGGTTCTGTAAACCATGGATATATTTGTTTTCAAGTGTCATTACCTGGAGCAGGTAATTGCAAAGAATTTGCTTTCAGATAATATTAAAGTCAACATGCTAGAGTGTGGCCAGTGTTTTGGAGCAGTGGAAAGTCTAGATGTGAATTTTCCTGACTGATCCTTTTATGCAGAATGAGTTAAGCCCATGCTTTGGCCCCAGGCATGTCACAGTGTTGATGAGGAACCTGGAAAACCTATCTGCCACTTCAGCCTGTTATTGATCCAAACTTGATATCTGTTTTTGAACCAGCTGCTATTGGTGAAAAGATTCAGTCTGATTATTTTGCCCAGCAATACTGGTGTAAATCAGGTCTAGTTTCACTAGGGGGAAAAAAAAAGAAAAGGGAAAATGCAGGCAGGCCACAGTACAGTCTGCAAAGGAGCAGAGAACCTCTGGGTTTGTTTCACCAGGAGATCAGGCTGCCGAGGCACCACAGATGTATTGGGTTTTATTTCTCTGCTTTGCTGGGTATTTTCCCTCTTGAGTGGAAAGCAGCCAAGCAGAAATCCTTGCTCTCTTCCTTTGTTCACAGAACATGATTTTTTCAGTGGCACACCACAAAGCACAGCAAGTAAAACCTCACAAAGTGCTTCATGCTGCACCCCTTGCAAGTAACACTCTGGCACGAGGCTGTGCCTCTGCCGTGCCCACAGCAGCACATGCAGCTCCCTTTTGCCATAGTGGCCTGAGCCATGGGACCCAGGGTTTCCACCACTTCCATGGTCACAGCCCTACCTGTAGCTTTCCTTGGTAGGGCAGATGCCCTTTACTGGCTCTGAAGCCACTTGCCACATGTTTTGGCCACAGTACCTGATGCATGCAGCCACAGACATTGATGTAGGATAGCTGAGGTCCTAGGGAGCTGTTTCCCTTCCCTGGCCATGCCTCACCTCACCAGCACTCCTGCATTGCAGGTGACCATTTAGGCAACCTACCACCCTGGGAACAAACCCTACCAGCTCCACTCCTCACCTTACCTCCCTTACCAGCACAAGAAGGAGAAGTGCAACACGCTGACGAGGGATTCAGCATCCCTTGTGCACACAGGCACAGAAGTGAGTGCACAGTTGTGCCCATGCACAAAATGACTCAAGGGCACTAAGTCCTAGGACCTTGATCTTCTCCAACTCATGGTAGGGCAATTCAGTTAAGCTCATTGAAGAGGCAGGAGTACACCACGTTTTTTGTGCACTTGTGTATAGAAATGGGCAAGTAGTTTGCAGCATGTACTTTTTTGAGTTAACTGAGCTCTTTTTAGGTGCTCTATGAGAATGCTACTTCTCAGACTGTTGTTTGGGTTTTGTTTTTTACAAGTTTTTGCAAATGGCCAGGTGTTTGCACACCAGCTTGCTAACTGAGGTGGGTGACTAGCAGTAAGTTGTGTGGAATTGTTGCTTGCTTCCAATCAAATACTCCATGAAAAGGACAGAGAGCAGAATGTTTCAGATATAGTGGTTGCTGACATATAAAGGCACCAGGTTTTCTGGGAACTGATGGTCAGACAAGTATTTGGGAAGCTGGCAAATGTAATCTCTACCAGTATGTAGCAAACAGGGATGGCATTTCAAATAAAGATAAACCCATGTGTTTTAGCAAAGTGGGTATCTGCAAGTTCTTCTCTGTGAGGCTTATCTAGCTCAGAGCTTATCTGTGCTTACATCCAAGAGGAATTCCACCAAGACATCCGTGGCCAGTTCCCCATCAAATTCAATCAACCTCTCCTCCTTAAAGACATAGAGACTTCCCTCTTCAATCAAGCCTGAAAGGAGAAGACAGAAAACATAACACGGTCAACACCTCACTAAAAGCATTTTTACTACAGAGTATCTTGCTTGTTATTCTAGCAATGCTTCCTGGGAAAACACATTTGCCAATTTGTTGAGTTACTCCAGTTAGTAAGAACCTGAGCAATCTCCTGATTGATGTTTCATGACATGAGGGACAGACCTCAGCCAGAACTTGTGCTAGCTTCTTCCCAAATGCTGAATTTTTTGTTCAGGTCATAGTTTGGCCTCAGCTGGAAAAATCCTGTACCAGGAGCTTGTTTTAGCTTGGCTATCTCTCTTGCAGTAAATAGCACTGGGCTCTGACTGACACCCCAAGTTTTAACAGCTTGTCACTAGATAGAAAGTGGATTTTGAGGCAGGTTGTGCTCTCTGCCCAAAGAAGGCTGAACTATGAGAACACAAACAGTGATCTGAAAGGCAAAGCAGGATTGAAACTCTTTGAGGCTTTCCAAAGGTTTAGGAACCTATGGTAGAGATGCTGCAGAGGGCAAGCTGGCAGATTTGAATGGTTATAACACTGGACTGAGGATTGAGTGCCACAGCATCTCAGTGAAGGCTCCAAAATCAGCAACATTGAGCTGCATGCTGGCAGGGTATCATGGGCCAGAGTGGTTGGTAGCTTGTTCCTTCTTGGAGAGGCAAAAACTCAGCTTTAGTGTAGCTTCCACCAGCACATAGAGACTAATTTAGAAAAGAAAACTAGTCTGTTATACAGTCCAGTATGCTTAAACAGTTTCTGACCTTAAGCCTAGTCTTAAATTCCTGTGCTGTTGTATTTCTGTGCCACAGCATTTCCATGTTGCTTTGTGGGCTAAAATACAAAGGGATTTCCAGCCCCTGGAAGACAGACATTTCCAGGGGTGGGCAATGCAGCAACCTTTCACTTTGTGTCCTGGTTTGGGATAGAACAATACCCCACTGGTAAATTTTAGGGTCACTTATTTTGTCCACTCCTCCCTGCAGGTGTGGCTTTATTTTCTGCCCCCCTCTGTGTGGTACACAAGCTTTAGCAGTGACCTTGGTCTGCACACCAATCCCTGGCAGTAACTAAACATGGAATGTTATCACTGCTAGAAGCAGACAGTCTGTGAAAATGTGCTGCTAACTTCAGAAAGTGCAGTTAATTAGAAGGGCTTTAGCTGAAAAGTAAAATCATTGAACAGAACCAGCTCTGTTCTGCCCCAAACCAGGACATTTTTGCAGGTTTCCTCTTCTGCTCTAGGGAGCAACTCAGAAGGGCTGAAAACCATTGCAAGGCTGTGGCTCTCCCATGAGAGGTCAGGAGTCATCCTGCCATGGGGCTGGTGACATTTGGGGACCTATGTGATTTCCCTGCAGGTTTTGATTCTGTGCTGCTGTGTCAGACACTTCTACCCTGTCATTGTTATGGCATGATTTGGTTTTCTTTTTCAATGTTTTGGTTTTGTTTTGGCTTTTCCCCTCTCTTCCAGGAAGCTTTTTGCTAGGAGGGTCTTGGCTTGTCCTTCTCATCCTTTGTCTCCCTGCCCCCTCCACTCCACCCAGACTTGATCCTGCCTATGTTGGGGTGAGCAGGTGGTCAGTGTGCAATTGCCACCACCACCTTCCCATCCTGGTGACAAGGATTTGGCCTTGGTCTATGGGGCTGGCTGTTGAGCATGACACCACTCTTTTTCCAAGCTATTCCACAGATATCAGACATGGACTCACCTAACTTTTTAGCAAGTTTGGCATCCTTCTTGGAGTCCACCATCCCAAAGCCGATGCTTTTGGGCTCCAGGACCTGAGCTGCCAGCTGTTGGAGAAACCAGAGAGCCCAATGTTAATGGCATTTACCTCACAGTGTAGCTAGAAGGCATCGTGCCCTGCTAGCATGGCCCATATTCTGCTTTCGAACAGCACCAGTGTTTGGGATGCATCACATGCTGCCTCCTTGCTGAGATAATGCTGCCCAGAGGTCACACGGCTTGGGTTCCTTCCCACTGTGCCACAGTACTGAGTTTGCTGGTGATACCATGTGCTGTCAACTGCTGTTTGACACTCAGGCATCAGGAGAGCACTCCTGACTAAATCAAGGACATGAAAGCAGTGGGCATAGCTGGGAGAAGGACCAGTGCCATGGAAATAAACCAAAAACTGTCTCCTCCATTGTGCCTCGGTGGCCTCCTAGGGGGAAGGTGACATGTGCACACCATGGACATTTTAACCCTGGAAGTGCTTGGTTTCAGGCAGCAGTGGCTGCAGACTGGAGGGGACTCAAGGCACTGCAGCATCATGTTTCCTTCACACATGTGATGGGGTGGCCAAGGCAGGCTCCCAGCAAAATAAAGCTGAGAAACTTCTGGCTTTGCAAAAGTGGCTCCTTCTCCTGTCATGTCTCCAGTCCAGGCTTCAGTCACATCCCAGTTCCTGCTCCCCCTTTTTCCTAAATAATCCTAATCCCAGCCAAACTTGATTTGCCTCCTTACAGCTTCTCAAAACCACTGCCCCTCGTTCTAACCATTTTTGATGAAGGGGCCTCTTGAAGATATCAAATTCCTGCCTGTCTTGTGAAAATAGATATGTGAGGAAAGGAGAGACGCTCTGCAAGTGCCCCATGATGGGAGCGACCCTGGGTGAGACCCTGTGAATTCCAGATGGGTTCCATAGAGATGTGGTGACCCTGAGACTTGAGCCCACTTACACCAGATGACTGACTTAGCCCCACCACAAGCACACCAGAGACCCTACAAGCCGGTAATGATGCTCTGAGACCACCAAGCAGCTGTGAGAGCCCCCTCCTCCTCCTCCTCCTCCCTTCCAATCCACAAATGCCTTTGATGCGGATGGTCTTCTTGCTGTCACCCCTCCCAACCCTGCCGGATGGTGGGGGATGATGGGGATGAGGAGTTGGGGGCCTCTGGGACATGAATGTCCCTATTAGGGCACAGCTGCCTGTGCTCAGTGGCGGGAGGCTGGAAGGGGGCAGAAGAAAAGCTGCGGCCAGAGAGATGGTGGGCTGATTTATGAGGAACACCCTCCCCCAGGACAAATTTTGGCACCCTCCCTCAGCCTCAAAGCCAGTTTGAATGTCACCCGGTAGCTCTGCCCCCATGGCCATGTGGCCCCTTGGCTCCCTGCTATAAATAGCCTCCGCCTGTGCCCAGCCACTGCAAGAGCCAGCGGTGATTAAAGGCATCGGGGAGCAAAAGCCCCAGGGCAGCTCCCTCACCTGCACACCAGGGCATCGTGGGGGCAGCCAACTCCCCATGCTGGCAGCACCCAGCCCACCCTTGAAAGCCACAGTGACAGTGGCCACCCCAGCAAACAGGGCTCAGGGACCTTGCCTGGGCAAAGGGGAGCAATGGGGAACGTTGTTGTCCCCATCTCCCTTCATCCAAACATGCATCCTCAGCCCTGTCCTGAAGCCCTCCAGAGGGACACGCTTTCTACCAACCACCACAGCATTACTGCAGCCCTGATCCCCTTGTGGCTGCCTGGCCTCTGGTGTTCAGGGGAAAAACCACAAAAGGGGTGCTTGGGTTTTGCAGGAAAGAGGTGGTCTCGCTGCTCTTTCCTTGCCCTCTGCCAGTGCTTTGAAATCAAGGTGAGACTGCACGTTCAAGGCTTATGCTTACAATGAACACTGGCTCAATAGGGCAGAGCACTGCTCTGTGTTTGCACATCCATTGATAAGGCCTCTGAGCACTGGTCTGACCAGGCTGGCATCCCATCTCCTCGCTCAGGCACCTGAGAGCAGCTGGTACCAAGTAATGCAGGGAGAGATGGACACCTCTGTGAGGTCTCCAGACACCTGCAGGCAAACAGCGATGAGAGAAGCTGTTTTCAGTTCCCTGGGGGTCTGCCTTTACTGGACAGAGACATGGAGTCTGTAAGATCATCAACTTTCAGGGATGTTGCCAGCATGTCCCCACTTACTGCCAGTTTTATAGACCAGCAAGTTTCTTAGAGTCAATGCACTGTGACCAGAGGCCGCACACAGAAAGCCCCAGGGGAGAAGACTGTTCAGCTGTGTTCTGTTCAGTTCACACCTGATCTAGCTACTTACTTGCAGCTTTGTTAGCCATGTGCCCAACTCAGTTTAAATCCAATCGTTCTTGACCCCTGAACACAGGAGACGTAAGGGTTTCTTGGAGGTGTTTGAAGAAGCTCAGAAATGTGTAGAAAAACTGCAACAGCTGCTACAGAGAAGTGGCTGGACGTGAGCAGGGGTGTTTGTGGGAGAGGAGCAATGGATGTCAGTGTGCAGTGTATGCAGGGCAGCCCTCGGGAGGAGTGTGGGTGCAGCTCTGTAGCTGTGAGTGTGGGCGCTTGCTGGGAAAGGGCACGTGTCTCAGGAAGACGTGGGTGATGGGATGAAAGCCTCTTTGTGTGAGACTGTGGGAGTGTGCACTTTAGTAGGGCTGGGGAGGCAAAAAAGGTCACAGTGCTGCTGGAGGTGTGCCTGCTGGTGTGGCACGGCTGGAGTGACTGTGTCCAGCAGGGCTGTCTCTTGGAGGTGTATGGTATGGGTATCCGTGTTTGGAGATGTTCTTCTGAGGAGGCTCAACTCAAGAGAAGATGTACAGCAGTGTGTGTATATAGAAGAATGTGTGTGTACAGCATGTACCTTTGGGGATGGAGCTAAGGGAGCAGCCCTTAGCTAAGCCCAGCTCCTTCACTGGGACTTTCAAGCTAATGAGATAATGAGGTGAGTGGTAGAACCTGTGCCCATCCATAGAGCACTGAGGTCTTGCACCAGGGAAATCCTTACGCCACATGAAGCTCTCAGGAGCTCTTTCCACTGTGGCAGTATCTGGAGGCAGAAGACCTTTGCAGGCTGGCAGTACCTGTGGTGGCTTTTTCAAGTGCAAGGGGACGGACATTGCTCCTGCCTTTGCTTTCTCTGCTTTCCACTGCAGCAGGTGAGTCTGGCCACTGCTTAGGTGAGGGCATATTCCCACACCTATATTTGAACCCCATAAGGCAGCAAAATACAGAATATGCCAGAGGCACAGCAGCTTGGCTAGTTGCCCCCTGCTCATTACAGTATCAAGCATTTATATATCCCCTTACAGTATTTTCTGATTCCATAATGCTAGTGGGATTTGAATGCAGATAATGTTTCTAATCTTGACAATCCTCTTGGCTCAGGACCTTGAGACAGAGGCAGCTGTAATGTAAGAACACAGCCCCTCCTCCTCCTCCCTTTAAATTCAGATCGCTTGAAGTCTTGGCCAGCCAGAGCCCTTGCCTTTGTGTCAGCCTCTATAGGAAGGAATTCAGCTTCAACAGCTGCATGGGGAGATGGAGAGGAGAAAGTGCCCTGGGAGAACTGCACCTAACTGGTCATGCAGTCCACGAGGTCTAGCAGGAGCCTTAGGCAGGCAGAGCTGGCTGAGAGCGTGAGCAAAGATCCTGTGTCTTGTAAACTCGTATCCTATGCACATTTTGCAGCCTTCTTCTCATGTTCATGAAGCCTTTGCAACACACACTTTCTAGCCACAGGATCGCAAGCTGCGTCCTGTGCAGCCTTGGGAAAAGGAGCTGTGAGTCTGGGAGCACTCCTGCTTTCTCCCACTTCCCTCAAGTAATAGTCATGTTTGAATTTGGGTGTGATGGAGTGCAGGGTCCTCAGCGATGTGTGAGAGATGCCAGCTCACAGTGAAGCCTGAGTACCACCACGTAAGCAAGCACCACCTCTTCTTGAATGTTATGAACATTTACAGGCAATATGAATAATGGGGATGGAAAGAAACAACTCCCTGCCAGAACATCTCAGCTTCACACCCACTATACCTATCTGAACATAGGTGTGATGCTGGGAAGCTTCTGAGAGACTTAACCATTCTGAAATCCGAGGTTATAGAGCAGCAGAAGTGCCACCACTGTGTGTCCATGCTCCTATTCCAGTTGCAGACACCACTGACTGTGCCAAACCTCGCATTTGATGTTAGTTTTGCTGCTAAATGGCAGACAAAATCCAGCAGAGAAGGGTACAAATGGCAGTGGAGGGGTGGGCTGGGTGTCTCGGCATGGTCAGTTTTCATTGTGGAGTGACGTTATGGATTTCTGGCCTGCATTTTCTTCCCACTTCTCTAGCACCTGCCTGGAGCTCCCACAGACAGGAAGGCTCATCTTCCCCAGCTGCCCAGGCTGAGAGGCAGGGCGCTGGGGATATTTGGGTCTCTGTGAGAGCCATCATGAGTAAGCTTCTCTTAAGCATGGGGAGCTTTCTGCTTCCCTAATTGGCAGTGGTGGAAGAGCAAAACTCAAGCAATGCAAGGAGAGCAACAGGAGGTGATTTGTCCCTCCACTTCTTTGTCTCCTACTCTCTTTAAAGCTGCAGTTTATCTTCATGCTCAGAACCTGGTTGGATGTGACAATGGTTATTTTATATCCCCAAAAATGTAGGGTTTATTTTCAGAAACAGCAGGAGAAGGTGGAAAAAGTCTTGGGTATTTCTCCAAAAGCTTTGAATCCTTATGCAGGACTCAAGTCTTCACACTACAATTGGCTTCTCTGTTGTCTGAGCTGGTGAGCAATTTGTTGGAGAGCAGAGAAGGTTAGCTCCCCTTCCTAATGCTGTACTGTCTTCTCTAGTATACCCTTGCACACCCCACTAGTAACATTGCATGTTCTTGCATAATTCAGGCTGGTGAATTAGGGGTCCTGAAGTGCCATGGTGATCAAAAAGAAGGGGCAGAAGCCTGCTGAGCAGGCCACTAGAGAAGCCACCCTGCTGGCAGTGGGGACCTGGGAAGAGCATGTTGGTCCCACCTCCCTGCCCTTTTCCACCACCTGAGCTGCCTGGAG